GCGCCGTTACGCACGTAAACGTGGCAAGAACAACTTTCCGAATGAAATACGGCCCCTCGGAGTGGGGCGAGCGTCAGGGTACGACCCGCCCCCCCCCCCCTCCCCCAAGGTCGGGATGACATCATCGTTTAAGCAAGGACGCTCAGTTCACATGCGAGAGCAGTAGCACAAATGGAGCTTTGAAGAGCCCTTTAGCAACGCGTAGTCTCCTGTGTGAGGGGCTGCTGGTAGCCCTCGGCTTTTGCTCTTCCTGTGATGCTCCTTTCCTGCAGCCCCTCGCGCCCGCGCTCTTCGCCCCTGCTTTCCATGCGCATCCTCCTCCTCCTGCAGCCCCACCTCGTGCTACTCTCGCACGTTCTTCTGCCGAACAATAGTTCCAGGCTAGAGGCAGCTCTTTGGTATGTAACAGAGAATAAGGAGGCTCATTATATGAAGTGGGCGGTTGTATGACACTTTAAATTAGAATGAACGAGTCTGCTGTTTGCAAAACACTTTTATTAGAAAAAAAATATTAGGAAAAGGCCATATAACAAATATCCTCTCTCAAGTTTCAGTCAGAATTCTTCGATTTCAAAAGTGAAACGTGAGGGTAGTTTTTGTTTTGTTTGTAAAACATCAGAACATTTTAACTGATTCATGGTTGTTCATTTTTATTCTTTTTACAACAGCCAGAACATCTGGACTTCATGTTCCAGAGTTTCGGCCGCTAACTAGAAAGAAATTCTATGACTGAATTTCATATCCTAAAGGATCAAGATCCTGGTCCAAGAGCATCAGAGAAGATTCCCTCAGCTTCTGTAGAAGTTTTCGGAGTTCTTCTTTTGAAAATACCTGAGAATAAAAACACACGATAAAAGGTATATTTATTTAAATCAGTGCTATCCATTGAAAAAAGTAAACGGTGGCTAATTAAGCTACTCGGTGTTTTGCATTTTCTTCTTTTAAGACAGTGTCAGTAACCCGACATTTCAGAATGGTTTTCAGTAAAGGACTGGAAGCTAGTGCTGGTACTCAAAACTTACAAGTAGGTCTCAAGACAACTCCGTCTCATAATTAGTAGAAAGACCATTGGGAACCATCCAAGTTTAATTTTCTGTTTATTGCTGTCTGGGATCTTATTAAGGTAATCCATGCAAATGCATCACAGTCTTTCTTAACATTGGTGGATTTTTTTTCCATAATTCTAATCTTTGGTTTTTTAAATTAATTACTATTACTTTAAATGATTTAGGTTTTTTTTTTTTTTAAAGGGGTTTGGGCAGAGGGGAGGTTAGGTAAACCAATTGCTCAGAAGCATAACCTGCTTATAAAGTGTTCTGACATATAATGAAAAAAAAAATCAATTACAATTCTACAATTCAACTTACTTCAATTCAATAGCCTCCTCCAAAAATCAATAACTGCAATACTCAGAACTACTTGTCACAAATTTGTTAACTTCAAGAGGACAGCAGTACTCTGATTCTGTAAGTCAGTGTACAAGGAAATCCTCTACTACTACACAGGATGGGACAGATGAAGAAATTTATGTTTAGGAACAGACAGTATCTTCTTCTATATACAATTTTTTTCCCCCCGAGTCCAGCCACGGAACTTTTAACTTGAAGTTAAGCCGTCTAGAGCTCTCAGTAACTCACCGTATAAAGCTTGTGTCGCTCAGAAGCGACTGTGTCAGCCAGTCTTAGGCACTCCTGGTACTGTCCAGTACTATGCAACACCGTATGTAGTAAAAAGCACATCATTGGCAGACAGAGCTTTCGCAGCAAGATCATCTGATGTGTTCGTTCCGGGTCGTCCTCAGCATCCTTACCACAGTAAAATATATAACAGTACATGAACATTTCCTTTAAAAAGCAACACAGTATTTATCACCACATAGCAGTAGCATCACAGGCAAAAACTGGAGTAGCAAGCCTATAAATCTGACTGATATGGCAACTAAAGGGGAAGAAATCTGTAAGCAAGACGAAGTGAATTATATTTGAGCAGACAGCAGCACATTAAACTTGAAGACGACTGCAGAGGTACAACTGCATAAAAACCAGCTCTTTGTGGTCTCTGCTGTGATACAAAAATTCATTTACCTCTCTAACATCAACCATCCATCCTCCATCAACAAACAGCAACACATTGTACATTTTCTCTTTCACATCAGCTGTAAGAGCATCCAAGAGACCTTTCCAAATACCGTAGTCCATCTGGCAAAGAAACAAAAAATTATGTACTGCAGAACAGGATAACGTCCAAGATCTATTTTAACATAGTATTTCACCCTAACACACACCAGTTAGCACAACTCTAGTTCGAAAGAAAATCTTCAGCCAATGGCTAAAACCTAAAAGCCACCTGGTAACAGCCTTTTATACGCGTGCTTAATTCCCTGTAAAAAGAGTGTCGAACAGGTTGTTCAGAAGTAGTTAAAGCCATTTGAAGAAGATAACATTTTAAATGACTTATTCTGCCATGCTTATTAGACAAATATTTGTCTAAACTGAATAAAGCATGTTTATACTGACCAGATTTACAAAAGGAACTTTTTTGAAAGGTGGTGGTGGAGGGACGGGGGCAGGGAGGGGCAAGGAAGGAGCATTTCTTTTTAGAAAGGAAAACTAAGACTGCCTCCTAATCACAAATATAAATGATTTATAATAAACAACAACTTGAACTTTTACCTACCTCATACTTCTTTTCTTTATGTTCATGGGCCACTTTCTCAGTGAAACTTGCTTGAGGTAACAAAGAAGGTTTCTGTGGAGCTGAGTTCATGTGTTTAAACCAGTCATTGAAGGTTTCATGAGCTTCCTGGATTGCATTGGAAAAAGTGTTTGGACATTTTGGACTCATGTATGTAATTATAAGAATCTCATTAAATGCACAAAGGTCCATTTACTTTTGGGTATAGAAAAGAACCTTGCTATTTTGTAAAAATCTCAACTACAATGCATCCAGCAATCAGAAGTTAAATCAAATGGATAAGGCTTAAAATTTCACCGCCAAGGCAAAGCCAGCATTATTTCTAAGTAATAATTTGGAATGCAGCATATCTGAAACTCACCAGATATGCCCGAATACATAAATGTTCTCTTATAGCGTTGTCATCTTCAGCTGGAAGTGGAGTATCCATTCCCTGCTCTTCCCATTGGTTATATATTTCTGCTATAGAGTCTTGGGGAATCTTCACAAACACATCTTTTGCAGCTTCATGTTTCTTGGATGCTATGAGAACATGAGTTGAGTATCAATGTCTTTTTATAAATAAAGTATGGAAATTGCAAACCGACAAACTATCACAATTAAGCCATTATGAATTAAAAAAAAAAAACCACCAACAAAAAAACACAACCCATATCCCGCTCTCTTTACTGTATTACCCATACTTTTTAATAGACTAGATTCAAAATTAATTCATATTTAGTGCCAGGAGTCAATGAGAACAGAAACAGCATTTACAAAGTTTACAATATAATATTTGTGAAGTTTAGTACCCAAGAACTTCCTCATGATTGCATTGCTCTGTTTAAGCGCTTCTGCTCTCTGTGCAGGATCAAATACAAGCCAGTCAATTACATCTATTTTCAGACGATCCGCCTGTAAAAGCCAATACATTTATTAAATTCAGTAACACTTCAAGCATACAGCTGATGTTAAATACACTAGTCTAGTCATTGAAATATCTGCGTTTCTAGAGGTCTTTGCATGGTATTAATACACACTAACTAATAAGGGACTGCTTTAGTCGCAACTTTATTATCAAAAGATTAGGAAAAAAATCAAAAGATTCAGTATCAAAAGATTAGGAAAAAATCTCTCCAGTCTAGATTCATCTAAAAATCCATTTTCAAGCATGCCCAATACTTTCAGACCAATGGACCCGTATCAACTCTTAAGAATTTTTATGGATTACTGTGCATCTGCCTCAAGCTTTACTATGAATACACTGTAAAAAAAAACCAACATGGTTTAATAGAAAGCTTACTAAAATCTCCAGGAGTACCACCAGTCTGCAACCACAGTTTGCTAACTGTTGCACTAGATAAACTGCCTACTTGGCTTAGAAAGGCTGAAAGCGTTTTAACTTTTCACTGAACTGCAAACAAACAAACAAAAAACCCTTCAAGTCTGCAAACTATCCCTTCCTTTCTAAACAGTACCTTGGAGAAGAAATGGTAACTGTTAACAATCCCTCATCACTGAAATACTGAATTGCTTCCAACTGATGTTCAATGGTGATGACAACTCATCAATTAAGGCACCAACTGTAGTGGCTAGAACATATCCCTCAAGCACATAATAAGGTACATCTGAGATCCAAAATACCAAGGCTCATAGTTATTAGAAGCTACAATATCATCCTACTCTCAGCTGCAAGGTATTTTTGTCATAGTCATCTCACAGGCTTCGTCTCTACTCATCTTTTGCCTATAGACACACTGCAGTGTGACACACACTACAGCCCAGTAGGTCAAAGAGATGTAGAAACAGAAGCTATGAATTCATTCATGGTCACTTGGTCACACGTAAAGGGTGCTTCCCTGGCACATAATTTAAAAGAAATAGAAAAAAAAAAGTCATATATGGTAAAGGAATCTGTACTCACAATCCTGCCAATTGGGGTATCTGCCCAACAAGATGTACTCACCTCTGTTGTTCCAGTATCTAACATATGATCATGGTGACTGAATTCACCAGCATCCTTCTTGCGGATGTTTTCAACAACAGTTTTTGTAATGGTAGCAACATCCAGACCTAGGTTAAGAGAGAATTACATAACCGTGATCATGAATTTAAATTTGCCACAAAGTGAATTTCAGAGTCTGGCTGTTGATCACATTTCTTACTGCTAGCAATTCTTACAGCTCTGTTCATGCTCACCTTGCCAGACAGAGTTACAGGCTTTTCATATACATAATTTATTGCAGGCATTTAGAAGAGTGATAGCTGAGATTTTAAAGACAATATCAAACATGGAAAGGACAGTAATAAAAAATAACAAGTTTTTCAGTCTGTGCCAGGGGACCAATACATAGGTATGTATGTGTACACACATATATTAATATAGATATGTACACATGTATTTGCTAAGCCCACTGATTTCTATAATCTTCAAGTAAAAGGAAAGAACACCTGATTTAATAGGGATGTACCAGGAGAGGCTCAGAACAGTCCTTTTAAAGATTCTGAAATAGTAACTTATACATTTGAGACCTTAGCTTTACAAGGAAATGGCTAAAAATAACTGAAGAAAAGTTAGACAGTGAAGTCTGCAGTAAAAAAATGAGAGTTTTGAGTGGCACAAAGGCCTTGTCAGACAAGG